TGAGGGGTGCTAATAGTTGAGACTCGACATTCGTCGATACAGCCTCCGATGGAAGATCCCGAAAATCAAATTTTGAAACCATGTTACAAATTTTATCGAGACTTAAGAACATAGAATTCGTATAAAGAAGGAAACTTACGTGACTTGAACGGTGGCGTGTGTTGTCGTGGGGATCGTATTAGAGTCCGTCGACAATGGATCGAGAGCAGCTGGTTGAACAGATCGAGGACTCTTCGATTTTTGTTTCTGAAAATAGAAGATCGAAAAGAGATAAGTATAAGAATATGGATTTATCAAACAGAAAAATGAATAGGACAAAACAGAAGTCAAAAGGAACCTTCGATTTTGTCGAAGAAGTAGGAATGGTGGCCGAACGTCTACGTTTTCTGATCAAGGTTGATGGGTCCGACTCACCCGAGGATCCCCAGTCCTCTTGTCCCTTCTCTTGACCCTTCTCGACAGCAGTGACCTTAGTAGATTTCGAAACTGCCAATAAAAGAAGACAAATTAGCTTATAATATACAGAATCAAAAAAGTATAAGAAAGCAGTAAAATCTCACCAAAAGGTGATGGAGTCAAGATCTTGACTCGATCGATATGTACAAGCCAGGGAGGCAAAAGAGCCTCAGGGAGGTTAAGGTAAGGGAAATAAGATAATTTCGAGACAGAAATATCTTTGTTTTTGGGTTTTGGGCGACGGGTTTCCCTGAGGGTTCTCAATTCTCGAACCCATTTTGGATGAGTTAATGGTTTGGCAAGTCCAAAAGGAGTTGTGGGAAAAATAGGAAGGCGATTTGGACAATATATTTCAAAAGGAGTTCTACCTAAAGGATTGATTATTTTGTGGTTCGATCGATTAATGTCCGTTTTATTGGATAAGGAGATAACAACATCATAATAGGTCGATTCTAATTTCAGTGGGGTGTAACATATTTGATAAAAGTTCTCGAATCGAGATATTTGAAGACAAGTGGAAGTGTGTACCTTTCTTCGATTTTGACTTGTCCCGCAACACAAGAGAAGGTCGAGTAGTCGGCTCGTCGAACTTCATCAAAAGTAGCATGACTACTCGAGAACCAACCGGCCCACCATTGAGAAAAACCCACAGTAGATAAATAATTTGACTCGAAAGCATAGGGGTAAAAGTGCATCGGGGTTTTTGGTAAAAGCTCAACAAGCTCCCGACTAATTGTGGATTCAGTTAGCTTGGACTTTGGGGAGGTATCGAGAGAGAAGAAGGGCAAAGATTGGCTCAACCCAAATTGTCTCGAGAAAAGCTCGGGGTAATAGGTGACAAGCTTAAAATCCTTCGACCGAAAACCCGACACCAAAACATCATGGGTCAAATAATTGCTCCATACATCAATCGCTTCCGATTGCAACCCAGAGTCGAGGCAGAAATTTTGATTTAAACCAAATCGGCCCCTAAGTTGGCCACTTGTTTGTCCAAGATGTACAAGAAATGGGGCCAAGGTTGAGTCGAAAGTGAATCTAGTTAACAAAAATTGAAGGTATTTACAGTAGGTAGTTTCATCGGACTTATGGCGAGGGTGACGAGAGGATAATCGGCCCCTTCTATATTTACACTCGGGGGACTGAAGAAATTCGAGGAAGGACACTCTCAAAGATCGAAGTGAGCCATAACCGTACAAACCAAACTGGGCCCGAAAAGTTCCCCGATGCTTTAGGTGTGTTCAAAATTTCGACAAACTTCGTCGAAAGTCGCATACACATGAGCTAGTAGCAACTTAGCCAAACATATCCTAGGCCGGCCTATGTGCGTGACATATGCAAGGTCAAAAAGATGGGGGAAATTTGGATCGATCGGGGCGTAAGACGTGGGTACACAACCAATACACTAAAAATGCCACGTGCTCTTCATCGTAGAATGCCTATCGAAGGGTCATCGATAAAATGCTTCTCAAGAAAATGACCATAGGCCTTCGATTCCCAATCAATTTTAGACTTCAGAGAATTATCCGAAGGACATGTACCCTTGAAGTATTTTTCCCCCGTAGGTTTCAAGCCAGTAATAGCCGCGACCTCAAAAAGGGTGGGTGAAAGTGGGCCACAAGGCAACTCCAAAGCATGTAAATCCTTGTTCCATAAGTGCACCGCAGATAGAAACATTGCCATGTCCAAAAACGACGTATCGCATCGAGACGAGTGCAAAAAGTCGAAAATTCCAACATCCTTCCAAAGTGGCTCCCAAACTTAGTCTTTACCCTATCAAACCACCTAATGAAGGAAGATTTTTTGGAAGGAGGGCCTGTTCTATATACCTTAGAGGTAAGATTCAGAAAATCAACCCTAACCTCAAGATGATGTACAAGAGCCGGGCTAATCGAGAGGTTGAGAGGGGAGAAAATGTCATCTATAGGACGAAGTGGACCCCCAAAAGCAAAATTAACCCCCTCAGCAGTGTAAGGGATAAGTACCTGCGTTTCAGCAATTTTGCGGGAAGCCTCCTCCATCAAAGGGACTGGAGCGAACTTCTGGTTATTAATCTCCAACAGGTTGGAAGGCAATGAGGAAAGGGGTGGAACGGAGAAGTCAGAAGATTTCGACGAGGTGGCCATTGCAGTGAGCTTAGGAAAACAGAAAGGGAAGAATTAACCGATGAGGTAACAGGGACGAAGGCAGGAGCTCAAGGGAGAAGATAAGATTGCACGTAAGGTAATGGTTCGCGTAAAAACCGGAGTGAAGACTAAGAGAGAGGTTAAGGGGAAAATCGTCTAGGGAGTTGGAAACGACTGAAGGGAGAGGTAATTAATGTAACTTGTACTGAAAGGCAACAGACTGACGAGACGGCGACGTAAAGTGGAAAAGAAACCTAAAACCCTTTTTAACCCTAGAACCCCGAAAACCCTAAACCCTAAATCCCGTGGGCTTTCAAACACTAAGGCGGAATATTGAAAGAATATAAAACGTAAATCATTTATATTCTTCCAAGGGGGCATTTTGTTAGTGGCAAACTGAGAAAAACGATCGAAATCGAAGGGAAGAAATATGACTCGATAAGATAAACAAAAGTTCATTCGATGTCTAATTAGAAATACGTAGCATATAGCATCGAGAAACACAATCGAGAATCGAATGAATTATAATCAAATGACTGTTGTCGAATAAAAACTAAGTCATATAAGACCAGGGTTAAAAAAGAATCGTGAGCAATTCGAAGTTCTCGAAAAATACAGAATCGAGAGTAAAGAAAGTCAATGTGGACATCGAGACTTTGGCCAAATTGTGAAGGGAAGTAAGTCGAATGCACGTATAGAGAGCAGTTTTGAAATCATGGGAAAAAGTCGGAGATCGTGAGAACGTGGGAAACTATAGAAGATAAACTGCCATACACACGTAGAACGTGGTAGCAGTCGCGTTAACTGCTCTCGGAAGGCTTGAAGGATGCCCTATAAATAGAGCAAAGGAGAAAGGAACAGGGGGAGCGGAAATTGGCAGAGAACAGGATCAGTAGTGAAAAGTCTACCGGAGAAACGACGAACACCATGAAGCTCCTGGCAATCTGGATTTCCTTGCTCACTGAGTACATTTACCGCTTTCTGTATTTTCCTTGGTAATTTATTTTGATGCAACTTAAATTCAGCAATTTTATGTTTCTGTATTTTCAATTCCTTGTCCATTTCAATTCAATGAAAATTTGAGTTTCTGCATTTAGATTTCCTGTTATTTAACATCCTGCAAATCTCAATTTCCTGTCATTTACTTTTCTTGCAATCTCGATTTCTTGTCATTTATATTTGCGTTATTTTCGATTTCTTGCTATTTACAATTAATGCAAGTTTGGGGTTTTCGCACTTTACGTTTCCTCGCAATTTAACATTCTGCTTTTTCGATTCGATAGTCTTAATGCTTTCGAGACCTTAAATACAAAACATCAAAAACAGCGCTTTCGATATCCTGTGATCTTCTATTCTCATACACGTTTTCGATTGAAAATCAAATTACTAGCCTAAGTAAAAAGAGCTTACGTGGGAGGATTTCGATTAAAGACCAAAATACCCTTAGAATCGAAATCGATCGAAATTCCACCAGAAACAACATGTTACTAAGATCAAGAGATCCATGTCTCTAAAAACCAAAGAAATTGAAGGATAGGTAATAAAAATCTATAATTACTCCTGAAAGAGTATATAAAAAGATTTGTATCACTGATTCTCAAATAAATAAATATATATATATATATATATATATATATATATATATTTTTTTTTCTAATAATAGAAAATTACTTTCAATTATCTTAAAATCGCATCTCAAAATTTAATCAATCCAATTTTATACCTTTTACCTATTTTTATCAAGGGGATAATTACATATATCTTTTTAAAAAAATTACTATATATAAATATATGCTTAGAATGAACTTTAAGATACCAAGACAAACATGTTAATAACATCTAAGATTATTGTAAAAAATAAGAAATGTGTTAAAAAATTTCATCTATAAGTTATCATGTGAGAATCAAACTAAAGTGAACTAGTTTGATCGCAACTTATATAATTTTTTTAAAACAATTTAATTAATATACAGTTAAAAAATCTCATGTAATTTATTATAGTTTATTTTAGATTTTTCCTACATATTTCTTTATTTTTCCCTCTCTGATTATTAGTTTCATATCATCTTTAATGATTTTTTTAAGATCATATTTAAAATTAAAAGCGATCAAGAAAAATTATCATACAATCACGTAAATTGCATATTTAGTTGTTTAAAATAAATATAAAAACAAATAGAATAATTACAAAAGTATAGGTTAGATTAAAGTAAATATAACTAAGTATAAAAAATTTATTAGATTTATGTATAATGAATTGTACAGAGGATTAAGGTTGAAAAACATTAATTATTAATCAATTATGATTGGTATTCATGTTTAAAAGAAAATTTTAAATATGTATGTAATATAGGTGATTCGCTTCAATTTATTCAATCTTGTTAGCTTATAAAAAATGAGACCGACATATTGGTTTGCATCCTACTCGTGGCTTATGCTTATATTTGGATCGTTAGCGAAATTGAGGGAGTGCCTTATGCTTTTTGAAGACCGAATGTTAGTGAGTGAAAAAAAAAATGAAAAGTAATATTATTTGAATTGAAGGAAAAAAAAGTGAAAAGAAATATCTAGAAAGATAATAAAAAATAAAATTGAATAAAAAATAAATAATAAGAAAAAAATGTATTGATGAAGATATTCTAATAAGTTAAATAAATATAAATTAAATTTGTAATATAATTTAATGTAAAATAATTAATTTATATTATATATAAAAATAAGGAAATATTAAAATATTATGTTATATATAAAAAAAATATCATTTAAACAAACATAATAGTCATAAAAAATATAGTTATCCAAAAAAAAAAAAAAAAAAAAAAAAAAAAACATAAAGATAGCACAAATGACATGAATAAGATATTTACTCAAAATTGTCACAAATATATTTAACATAATAATTGCAGTGTACACAATTAGTTTCTCTTTAAAGATTCTGATAATCATTTTGAACATTAACTTAAAGTCTAGTTATTATATGTCTTTAATACTTCTTTATATTAAATATATGATCTTAGCTTTTCAGGGAACATATATTTGTTCTTCTTGAGTTGAAGTTTGTTCTTATTCAACCTTGACATTTTCATTTTCATTAGAAATGTTATCTTGCTTAAAGTTAGGTTGTTGGATATGATGATCCACCATCAATATTCACCATATTTAGTTTTTTAGAGATCTCTCATTAAACATATTTGTCCAATCTAGGGACAAAATTGAATGTGAAGTTAAATCTAACCTATAATACAGTAGAATACGAGTGACTAAAAAATATGGTACAAAGGCATATTATTAGTCTTACACTTTCTCACGAGTTTTGTGATTTAATGAGACCAATTATTCATAATGTGATTATTTATGCACCATATCAAAAATATATTATCATGTAAGATCTAAATATAATTTCTCCTCAAAACTCAAAATATGAATAAATACATAATGTAGAAGTTTATCTTTAATGGTCAAACTATCAACATTTTCAATCTAATCCTTGTAGTCAATGTTTCATCCTTATCATATCCTAAGTCTTTCTAGACAGTGGCGGATTTTGACCATTGATCTTAGGGGACCAAATAATATATTATTAATAAATAATAAATAAATATAAAAGGAAGGAAGAATATGAGAGGTTGAAAAGATAAAATTGTAGATATATACTTAAATATATTAAATGATCATTAAGTTTGAGGAAAACAAAATCATAAATTATATGAGAGTTGCAAAACTGAGGAGGGGCTTAGAAGATAAAATTGTAAATATACAAGTAAATATATTAAATGCTCATTATGTTTGGGGGAACCAAAATCATAAATTACATGGGAGTTACAAAACTTTGGGGGGCCACGACCCCCTCAGCTCCCAAGAAGATCCGTCACTGTTTCTAGATGTCAGCAAAATCAATTCAACGACCCTAATATTTCCAATAGACCACATTGAACTAATAATCAGGTCCTATCTTGATGTATCGTTGTAAGACCTCAATTACTATATTATTTGAGTCATTCAATTTTATATTAGTGTAAAAAACTTTAATGATGTCTTCATTAATAGAGCCTGTCCAAGTTAGAAATCTATCTAACCCCTGAAAAGAAAGGTGTCATGAAAATTTGAATCCAACATTAACAAAGTTAAAGTCCATTACCTTTGCCTGGATTATGGTTCTATGGACATAATCTGCATAATATTTTTTTTATTTGTCTTTCCTTATTGAAATAACGACCATGATCTAATAAAATTGGGAAAAGAGGCAAATTTGGAGGAGGAGTTGATGTAGGACCATCTGTTACTTTTTTCTTTTATTTTGTGAGGCATGTCTCCATTTCTTTACGTTGGACGTGATAAAAACATGATTTAAACCTGTAAATATAAGTAGCATTAGTGCAATAAATATATACATAAACATTACATATCAAAACATTAATAAAATAATGAAACATAAACATGACAATCAAACATAAATAAAATATTTAAACAATATTTTACTAATAGTAAACGAAATTACTATATGTTGAACAATACTAATAAACATAGTACATGAACTTAGTACCAACAAACAAAGTACATTAGATTTTCATAGTTCCAACAAACATTGTTCAAATATTTAAAACAACATTATGATGTAAATAAAAATTCATAAATCATCTAGGACGTGCCTCCATGAGTCATGTGTTTCAACAATATAATTTAGTCATAACTTTGATGGTATGCCAAAAATCATATCCATATAGACGATATTTCTTAAAATAAACTTGTAGAACTGTAACATCAATTAATCGTCATGTAAATTAAGTTAACATAACAATTGTCATATATCATTCGTTAAATGTTGCATAACTTTTTTGGATCATCACTTATTCACTCATCAGAGTCAGTTAATCATTGTCTGATGCTCCACAACAATAACCTTACGTTTTACAATATCACAATTACACTTAACAACCTCAATCATTTTTGTATAATATTTATTACTCTCACTAATTCTATCCACCCGTTTGTGTACCTTTATACTAATATATTCAAACTGAACACTCAAGTCTACATCTACCATGTTGGCCTTTCTTTTTTAGTCCTTTAATGAAAATGTTCCTACAAAAGAGACAGATGGAGAGACCCTGGACTATAAGAGTTCATATGGGGTGGACTTGACTACATCTCATGAAATGGATTATATGCATTGTGCATGAAATGATTCGTAGTAACATTGTTCAAATCAATGCCTAAGTCCACTGTGAAATCCTTGCATCTATAAACTTGATGTACAATCCCTGTCATATGGTCAATGACACGATTAACTCCCCACAATTTCTCTAAACAAGTCATAAAATTTTATTAAATTACTTGTCATTTAGTAGTTAATGGTTTTGCCTAAAAATAAAAAATAAAAAAATATATACATAATAATTGGTGTAACCTTAAATATTACAATAAATTGTTAAAATACATTATTCAATGTAATACCTGAATCAAGTCATGTAATACTTGAATCAAATTATTCTAAACTTCAAACTCAGCTTCAAATCTTTTTGTCACCTTGTTCTAAGCAAAATCATTGAGACCACTAAACAAATCATGTACCTCATCTTTAAGGTTTTTTATTTTGTCTATTTTTTACAGTGTTCTTATTTATGACAATATAACCTACTTGTTGTAATGCATTCATAATATTAGTATATGCTTGACTTGTCCAACTTTCATCTATCCTACATGTAACAGAGAAGGAACGAAACAAACACATAATTGATTATGTGCGTTTTCATATTTGATTAACAAAAAAAACATAATTAATTATCATTATAACCATCATCAATTATATAGTTGGACATAATCAATTATATCGTCTCTCATAATTGATTATGTAGCATGATATAATCAATTACAAACTATCTTATAATCGATTACATTGACCTTTTATGTATTACAATGACAAAATTGAACAATAATTTAACAAAAAAGTAACATTACTTTTATGCAGACACACGAGATAACTAAATTTACATCTTAAATCACTAAAAGTATTAACTAATTGTAAAATAAAAGTGATTAATAATCTTACTAGGACTCGTTATGAATACCAGAAAACACAACTAACTCTACAAAACTATTATGATTCCTTCCCAACTTTAATAGGACGTTCCTTGCCAACCTTAATCACATTTTTTTTTTCCTGAGACAACATTAGTGAATGCGTAAGAAAAACTGTGTATTGATGCATTTGTAGTTGAAAAATATTAAATGTTTCACGGCTCATCCAACGAATAAACAAAATCATGAATAAACAAAATCATGACCAAGTTCAACACGCATGGTCTATTGAGGGTTCACAAATTTTATTTACTCTGTATTAATGGAAGTTGCAGTGGTAGTTGAATAATTTAAGATGAATATGTGAGGTGTAGAAAGTTGTGTCGAAGGAGACTACTGGTAACTGTGATTGCACTATCTTAAAAAAGAATCTCTATAATTTGAGTACACGTTGAAAGCTTGCATGCTAAATGAGACAAAATCATTTGGGGGCAAACAAATATTTCGTTAATTACATCTTCATATTTCACTTATTTTCTTTACAAGTTTGAAGGTCTTTCTTTGCATGAGTCTCCCTTCTCTTTCTTCACAGATTATGAAAAATTAGTAGATACAAAAAAGGGAGTTTGTACTCAAATTCACTCTCTTTCTTCATTGACTACAATGCATACATGAACACAACGAGCTCAAGATCTTATACTCCTTTAATAGTAAGGAAATGAAAGAAAAAAATAACAAAAAACAAAAAATAAAAAATATAAATGTTGATTTAAAGAAAAAGTAAATGAAATTTGTTATTTAATAGAAATTTAATATTTGTATAACTACAAAATTAGCTGTATAATTATTTTTAGATTATTATAATATTTATTAACAAGAGAATAATTTTATAAAATAATATTTCTCTTTGCACTTTTCACTTTTTTTTGCGCATCAAATATGAGAAAAATAAATATACCAGTGGAAATGCCAATTTTCCCTTTTATCACTTTTTCCTTACACTTTACCTGCAAATGAATAAAAACTCACATAATAATTAAAAATAAATAAAATATTATGATAAATATATGTATTTTTTTTACAAAATTTTAATTTATAAAAAAATTAAAATATAATATAATAATCTCTTGAGGAAAAATAATTATTATAACTTTTAATCAGAAAAACAAATAGTTTGGTTTTTTAAAGTATTGTATTATTTATGTACATGTATTTTTTAGGTGGAGGATAAATCTTTAACTTATCTAAAAAGTCAATTTTTTTACAACCAAACATTATAACGCAAGTGTGTAGATTCTATTGTATTTTAATATATTTTTCTTTTGCCGAAAAAAAGTTAATAAACTCATCACTTTATATTTATCCGTTTCTTTCTTATTATTTTGGAAGACACTATGTTAATAAATTCACTAAATTGACTTATTAATTGGGATGATGAAATATAGGAATGTTGTTCCAGGAAAAACACCATGGTGAGATTAACTTCGGAATTTATATAAGTCAATAATTAAGAATTCTAAAACAAATTTATAGTATACTTTAAAAAACATGTTAGTAAATTTTAATATATTATCATTATATATATATATATATATATATATATATATATATATATTACTTCTATAAATAAACTAAAATCTGATAGGATTAATTTTCAATTGATTTAAAAAACTGCCTATATTGTTTTGAGAAAATACTTATATTTTTTTAAAGTGTAACTATATCCACCAATTTATTTATTTGTTTTTAAAATGCAAAAGTATGCTTATTTAAGTGAGGATATTTAACCACCGTTTTCTTATTTTTCTTAGAAATAATTTCCCAATAAAAGTAAATTTTGGCGATAGAAAATTGTCAACCGTTGAGTTGACGGTCACCATATTTCCGAATTCGGATAAAGGGCCCTGATTTCATAAATACTGCGGGACCCTTTCTCTCTCCTCCTCCACTCTCCAATTTACCCCAAACAAACAAACCTCTTATTCTCTCCTTCTTCCATGCGCTTTCTCTCTCTACAATTCGATCTCTTCCGCAATCCCCTGGTCAATGCAGGTACTCTCTCGCCGCTTTTCCACTCTCTCTCCATTCTCTCTTCTCTCAATTCTTTCTCTGCTTCCCTCTTATGCCGCCAATTTTGCTTGCATTTCATCGAACCCTAGTTTCTTGTTTCTGTTTCTTTTGGATTCGAATTCTGAGGTTGCAAGTGTTTTTCGCTCGTTTTATTTTTGGCTTTATTTTCGGGAGGCAAATTTGAATTTCGAAACCTTTTGCTCGCGCGTTCTTCCAGCCTAACTTCATTATCTTCTCATGCTTCGATGTTTTTCACTTCAGCTCGTTGCCTCAAACCTTGAGCTGTTCTTGTTTCGTTTTTTTCAGCAATGTGCGTTTTGTTCAGTGACGTTTGTGTTCCGAGGAACCACGCTTGGTCTCGTTTACTGTGATTTAAGTTTATCTGTGATAGCATAGCATTGTTATTATGTATTTCTACATAGGCAATGTGAGGTTTCTTTTCATCTCATTTTTATTGTATCTTGACGTTAAAATCGCTTACATTTTATGGTTCCATAGTTTTTGTACAGTGGCTTGGTTTGTTTTGTATGTAGAAGTAGTATGAGTTTCTGCAACGGTTGTCGACATTTTTGTGCATCTTGGTAGGTATGGCGTGGCATTAACCATTGGGTCACTTTTTTTGAGGTGTACTTGCTCTAAGTGATCTTGAGTGCGGGTTGAAATTGTATGAAGTTGTATATTGATTATAGTTCATGGTATTGACTTGTTGCAGATACATTTCAAGTATCTGATTACTCATACTTGTTTATGGTTTAATGGCTTGCTGTCAAGAGATCCTTTGCTATGTGAGTTGCTAAGAGAAAATATGGTGGAAGATATTCAATACACGTGTTGGTTTAGTTAACACTGACGTATGGCGGGAAATACTAGGTTTAATTTAACCGCAGCTAAACAAGAGGAATTGGCTTTCAAGGTTAGCTTTACTAATGGGCAGAGAGGGAATTTGATGAATGGCTCTTTGGACAGGTCTGCAAGCTTTCGTGAGGGTAATGAGGGGCAAATGTTTATTTCGGGTGCTAATATGTCACGGGGGAATTCAACATCAGCAGGGGATTTGACTTCTGTTGCTCAATGTTTAATGTTAGATCCAATAACCATGGGAGATCAAAAATATACTAGGTCAGGTGAGTTAAGACGAGTCCTGGGGATATCTTTTGGAAATACTCTTGAAGATTATGCTTTTGGAACTGCTAATCTGAAGTCTCCCCCTCCAGTGGCTACGGAGGAACTAAAACGATTCAAAGCAAGTGTACAAGAGGCTTCTGTCAGGGCTAGGTAGTTTGAGGAACTTTGTACAATACCATTAATTCTTTTTCTTCAAGTCATACCAATCTGATATTGCTTCCCATTCAATATTCTTAATAAGTTATTTACCGGAGAGCTTTGCATTTGCAGCATGTATAACTGAATGCCTACCATTTTTATAGTTTGTTTCTTTTCATTTTTGGAATTTATTTATAGTAAATTGTCCAGAACTGTTTAAAAACTGATTGACCTGGACTCTTTGTTTATTGTCTCTTGAGTAGTCCTCTTTTGTTCTGAAGTTTTAAGATTTCTCTCAGATATAGATCCAAAAGGTTGGATGAATCGTTAGACAAATTGAACAAATGTTGGGAGGCTGTAAGCTTAAAGAAGCAACTTCGGAACGATTTGTTGCCTAATGAAAGACTGGGTGGAACACTTTTCTCGAAGATGGGAAGTCAGACTCACAGAAGCCCATCAGAGCATGTGAATCAAAGAGTAGAGGACAGACCTAAGAATGTCATTCTGAATAAGCGCATTCGTACATCAGTAGCTGAGACAAGGGTTTGTAGCCAGTGCTTTTAATTAATTATTGCATTTTCTGTAGCAACATTTTGGTTCTATGACATGTCAATTAATTATTATTGCATTTTTTTTATTGAAAACCTTGTTAGGAGAATAGAATTCCAATTGTACCAAACAGTAAACTTTAACTTTTCTGGCGCATAGGAATTAAATTTGGGTAAGGTGTGGCATGGTGATAACATTTTCTTGATTCTGGTACAACTATTTGTATGCTTTGGTTGCATGTGCTTCTCTGAAGATTTTCATGATACACTATGGCAATTGACTTGAGTGAAAGAATGGATTATTTAATGCAAACCTTATTAGTCATTTTAGTAGGATATATACAGGTGAATTTTAACATGATTGAATTTTAATGGTGTTATGGTTGGGGATGGGCAAGTTATATATCTTTCATATTTTCAATAATCACTATTTAAGACGGAAGACACAAGCAAAGGAGGATCCAAGGTACAGGGAATCCTGTCTCCGGAAGAGGCTAATAGACTGACCAACAGCAAGCATTAAAACTTGTATATATAACAAGGTTGTAAAGTAAAGGATCATAAATGGAGAAATATTACAATGAAGAAGCAAGAGATTCCATTCTTGCTGAAATATTAACAGATACACTCTTATTGTTAATCCTACCTTGACTGTCAATATTTTTGTTTTGAATATCTGGAGGAACTTGACTTGAAATACTTATATTGCACATGTAACATTTGAAAGGCCATCACTTATTGTAATGAACCATTGATAAACAATTGTTGCTTTGGTTTTCATGTCTTGGATACTGACTATGCCATGTTCCTTTTTTTTTTACCTAAATCCTAACAGTGACATATTTTCCCGCCTTGTCATAACCTTTTTTTTCAACATTCATATTTTCACCATGTATGTTTTCTTGGAAAAACACTAGACTGAAGGACTAAGTAATAATGCAAGGCAGCCTTTGGCCATTGGAAAGGATAGAGACAACATCAAGGATGGTAACAAAGGTTGTGATATTGTTGAAGAGAAGATTCGAAGATTACCTGCAGGTGGAGAAACATGGGATAAAAAAATGAAAAGAAGACGTTCCGTGGGTACAGTTGTTGCCAGATCCATTGATGGGGAAGGAGAGCTGAAAAAGGTTATGCATCTAAGGCTAGCTAATGAGCCAGGTCTACAAGGTTCTGATGCTCACAGTTTGAGGTAACAAAAAATAATGAAAAGCTTTGATTTATGAATTATATTTTTGTAAAGAAACGACAATGATATCCAAGGTCTGGGAAGTGATCTGAGTAACTGTAGAAATGAGTTATGGAATGTTAATGTATACCAAGTCAATTTATTGTGTTGATTTTATGAACATTGTGCGTTTATGCATGCAAATCAGCTTATCAAGTCAGTTTAGGAATATTTTGTGTTTATGCAGTTATTAGTTCCTTCATGTAAAATATTCTTGAGAGTAAAAAACAACAAAATTGGGTTATATTTGAGATGGTTTGCTTCTGGCCATGTTATTACTAAGGGGTATTTAATGTTTCAGTAATATGTAGCTTTTTTTAATACATGATTTATTTGACAGATTTTATTATTTGGGAAATGGCATCTAGTCTATTTTGTGGTTGCTTCATTTTTTTGGGGAACAAATAATTGGATTTTTCGATCTTCAGGGCATGGACTGTTTAGAAAGAGAAAAGGATATAGAGAGAGAACCCCTAATTATTTGAATATCATTATTACTCAGGTGTATAGCATGTCAATATTATTTTATTGCAACATAAGAGGCTATCCGCAGCCTGTAGTGCAACTTTTGGTATATCATGTTTACTAGTTTTACAATTCATGGTGCATAGCTACTAATTTTACTATGTCAATCAATCGGGTGTATATGAACATGCTTTGATTTCATAGTTGATTAATCTTTAGGCATCTAACTATTCTCAAAGATTGACCTTTGGTGACTTGATCCCTGTTGAGAGAGGGAGAGGGAGAGGGAGAGGAACGGGAGAACAATTGGTTGAATTGCACACTGAAATATATTTGTATCAGGAGTCATAAATATAAGAGTAGTTACAAATAATTACAAGAATATACAGTCACTCCAATTATCATAATTACATAACATGTAATATGCCCTATTTATGTCAGTACCATAATGGGGAGTTGGCAAAATTAAATTAAGTCGAAGCATGCATGTTTGTTTACATTCCTTAGTCATTGTATCTTCCTGAAGGTCCCTTTCTCCATTCTTTTATTACATAGAAAATAAGAGTGAATGAGGAGGATGAAGTCCTTCTCACAACACATAAATATGGAAAAAAGTAAATTAGTTAGGAGGTAGTCAGTTCCCCGTATTTTCCCTTGTTTCTTCCAGCCAAGTCATTATCGGTCATGCTCTCATCCCCTTGCATTCTCTTATTTGATCTTTCTGCAACTAATATATTTTCCCCTTTACTCACCAGATTCAGTATTCTGATATTTGCCGTAGTTTATCGGATATTCAGTATTCAGTCTGTGGATAAAATTTAGTTTTTGGCTCTCAAATAGTTTCTTCTGTCATGGAAATCAATTATGTTATTTGCCATTTCTTGCCAACTATATTTCAAATAGTATTTGGTTGACTCGCAGTTCAGTTACTGGTATGAGTATTTAAATGGCATCCACATTTGGTAACTTGATTTACTTTCTCCGGTCAATTTGTCATTTAAAGTACTAAGTTTAACCTGCCTCTCTAAATTGGATGTGCTAATTTTTTTATTCTGGACTCAATTCTGAAGTGACATTCAGGACCAAGTCGATTCTATGCCATTCATGACCCTCTCTCTCCTGAAAGATTAACCTTGCATTTGAATAGAGAATTTTGTATGTTTTAGTAAATTCAAATACATTGAATTTGACTTACTTTCATTTCAAGTTGTTTAATTTTTCAATTGGTTTGTTTGGATAAGGCAATTCAAATTTATTGAATTTTAATTTCTTGTTTGGGTAAAATATTTAAATTAATATCAAATACAAAAATTATCATCATTGACTTGCCAATTAGACCTAGCTCTTAGTACTTAATCCTCTCACATGGGTTAGGCCGTGTCAAGGTGAGCCTTGATGGGCAGGATTGGGACAAGCTAGGCTAGTAAGGTTGGATCAGAAGGGATCAGGTTGAGAAGGTTGGGTTAGATTGAGTCAAGATAGATCAGGTCAGGATAAGTTATGTTATGTTTGGGCCAGGCTAGGATAAGTTAGGCCAGAATGAGTTGGGTCAGAACAAAATAGGACAAACCTAGT